TAGAAATGAATTTTATACAACATAATTTATGCCTTACACTATCATGGTTACAATTTGTTTTGATTTATTAATCATTGCTTAAACAAAACTAATTTCACATCCTAAAAATTGATTTCCAAACTCAACTAAAAAGGCAAACACTAGCATACAACCCTAGCCCGTGCGAAGCACGGGGTAGAAAACTAGTTTTGTGTATTATTTATGGGTGGAGCTATATCCACTCCAAGTTTAACTAATGCCACTCCATTTGTAAGGTAGAGACCATTTTAACCTTTTTAAATCCCTTTCCCAGTGGAATAAATTTTGGTACTGCGAGGCATTCTTATCTTCTCCCCTATCCCAACCATCCTATTTCACTAATCATTACTCCAACTTTTATAAACAATTCCCCCAAAAAAATTGTCGATGAATTAAGCTCTACTAAAGGTTTTGTTACTCCGAAAAAATCTCCCTTGTATCACTCTAATTATTTTCATGATCCTAAATCCTTAATGAAATTCATTAAACTCTAAATAAAACTCTAAAAAAAACATGTTCATATCTTTTACCCTTTTGAAATTTAACTTTCACATCATTTTTTCACAAATTAACATCTATTTTTCAAAAAAAAAAAATATACTAGAAAGCACTACTCTGTAATTAAAATTAAAATATGAATTCCAAAACTATTACAGCACAACCATTGCAAAACCTTACAATTATACGAAACTAAGCCTCCAAAAAGTATCTCAGTTTATTTCAAAAAACTATTACAGAACAACTTCCATCTTTACAAAAAAACTTGAGCATCTTCACTCTTTCCTCTTGAATCTTCATACCTGTATGAGAAAAAACACTTTTGTAAATGAAACCATAGAGCATGTTTAATAAATTGCTCCAAAATATTTAATTTTCAAAGCATGTATGAGAAAAAAAAATTGAAGTACACATTACTGTAGTGAGGGTAATTTGTAAGTATCTAACCTCAAAATGAGTTCTAAATGAAGTCTTGGTGGCACATTCAAATCAACAGCTCCAAAATGTTGATCAACTTTAATTGGGCTTGTGCGACTATTATGACCATAATTCTTACATATGCTGCACTTTCGACCCTTTTCAATAATTTCAAAAGCAGATTGATCTCGTAATGTAGAAGTTGTTCTCTTATGAGGTGTTTGTTTTTTGGCCAGAAGAGCTTCTGGCCTCTTTTGTCTGTGCCGCGCAGATGCTGAGCTCTGCAGATTGTTTGTTTTTTGGAAGATATTTTACTCAAAAAGGTCTTCCTGGCATCTTCTTGGAGAAGACATTAACCTATGTCTTCTAACATCTTCTAACATCTTCTCCATTTTTTTTCTTCTACTTCTCTTCACCACCACCACCGTCCACCACCATC